TTTTTTTTTTTTTTTAGTGTTATATACATTTTAAAATAGAGGTCTTCCATCTCCTTTCTTAGATGTAATCTTGAGTTCTTTTTCTTCTTCTTTTTTTTTAAAATTTGTAGTTGTAGATGGACAGAATGCCTTTATTTTATTTGTTTATTTTTATGTGGTGCTAAGGTTCAAATCCAGTGCCTCACACATGCTAGGGAAGCGCTCTGCCACTGAGCTGTAGCCCTAGTCCTGTTGTTGTTTTTGTTTTGTTGTCTTTTTTTCTTTGAAGATATTGTGAATGGAATTGTTTCCCTGAATTCTTTTTCAGTTTATTTTCCCTGATTTCTTTTGAATGTTGATTTTGTATCCTCCAACTTTGCTCAATTTGTTTATTATCCTTAGAAGTCTTTAGGGTGGAACATGATGAATCTTCTAAGTATAGGATCATTATCAGTGATGATTTGACTTCTTTATTTCCTATTTATATTTCCTTTATTTCTTTCTCTTGCCTGATTGCTCTGGTTAGAGTTTCAAGAACTAAACAGCAGTGGTGAGAGTGGATGTCCTTTTTTGTTCTTGTTTTCAGAGGAAATACTTTCAGATTTTCCTTATTTATTGTGATGTTTGCTTTGGGTTTGTTGTATATAACCTTTATCACGTTAAATGGGTGGTAAATTTTGTCAAAGGCCTTTTCTTCACCTATTGATCATTATATGATTTTGTCCTCAATTCTATTTATGTTATGAATTACATTGATTGATTTGTGCATGTTGAACCATCTTTGTATCCCTGGAATGAAACCAACTTGGTCATGTTGTATGATTTTCTTAATGTGTTGTTGAATACAATTTGCTAATGTTTTATTAAGGATCTGTGCATCTAAGTTCATCAAGGCTATTGGCCTGTGTAGTTTTCTTTTCTTGACTTATCCGTATCTAGTTTTGGTATCAGTGTGATACTCCTTTCATGGAATAAATTTAGAAGTGTCACACCCACTTTCTTTGTGTTTCATGGAATAATTTGAGGATGATTGTCCTTAAGTCTTTCTTTAAAAGACTGTTAGAATTCAGGTGAGTTTGTCTGATCTGGGTTTTTCTTTGTTGGAAAACTTTATTTATTTATTTATTTATTACTGTTTTAATCTCATTGCTTGTTATTGTCTGGTTAGGTTTTCTGTATCTTTTTGGTACAAGTTTGATACTAAATGTGTCTAGAAACTTATCCATTCTTCTGAGTTTTACAATTTTTTGGATCCATCTGCCAGACTATTTTTTAATTGGAGATTTGAGACCAGTTAGAGTCAATATTGTTATAGAGGAATGTTTATTAATCCCCACCATTTTGATTTATTTCTAATGTTGAATTTGGTCCTCTTTTTAAATTTGCTCTCCACTCTTCTAATGAGAGTCAGCCATTTGTAATCTCTGGAATTTGTTTTTGGTTTCTTTTGTGTGTAGTATTTTGTTAAGTATTTTCTATAGTTCTGGCTTAGTAGTCAGGAACTCTTTTGGTTTCTGCTTATCTTGAAAAGTTTTTATTCTCTTTTAATTCTAAATAGTAATTTTGCTAGACCTAGCCATCTTGTTTGGCAGTAATTTTCTTTTGGGGTTTGGAATGATGTCTTCCAAGCCCTCTTAATTCTGCTTAACTTTCTTCTAATTGTAACCTGATATTTTCCTCTTGAGGTTTTTAAAATTCTATCCTTGTTCTGTATATTAGGCCCTTTAATTAGAATATGTTGAAGAAAGGTTCTTTTTTGTTCTAGTCTAGTGGGATTTCTGAAAACCTCTTGTATGTGGATGTTCATCTCATTCCCAAGGTTTGGAATTTTTTTTTTCTTTTTTAAATTTTTCTGAAAAGGTTGTCCATTCCATTAACCTCTGTCTCAGATCCCTCTTTTATTTCAGTGGTTCTTAAATTTTGTCTCTTAATGTATATTCTCATTATTACTATTTACTTTCTTTGGTTAAGCCATTGGAATACTGAATATATAAGACTGGCCTCTTTGTTTTCTGTCTTTGTTTTGAGATTCTGTCTTCTACTGGTCTACTCTGATAAGAGACTTTAAACAAAATTTTTACTTGATTTATTGTGTATTTCACTTCTAAGATTTTTGTTTCATTTTTTTCCCACATCTTTCTCTTTATTGAAATTTTCATGCATATGCTGTACTGACTTCCTCAATTCATTCAATTGTTTTTTTGTGGTATTTTGAAATTCAGTGTTTGTTTTTTCATAATCATTCTTATGAATTCTTTATCCCTTATTTCATCTACTTTGTTAATTTGGGAGTCATTTGCTTGTGAATTATCAACCTTAGGGGAGATACCATGTTACCTTGTTTTTTCATATATCTTGTATCTCTGTGTTGAGTTGTGTGCATGTGTTAGAATGGAGTTCTCTTCTACTTTTATGTGAGGGCTCTCTTCTATTTTTATTTGAGGGCCTATTTAGGGCACAGCCTTCTCTTGGTGAAATGTCCTAGGATATCATATTCTTATAAGTTTTTGAATATATTTCCAAATGGTTCGTATTATAGTTTCCTGGCTGGTTCTTTGGTGATTATTAGAACACTTTCATATAGTATGTATTATGTCAAAACTTGAGGATCTTTCTTTTTCTGTCAGTCTCACAAGAGAGTTTATATATCTCATAGTTATGCTGTATATAACTGGGTATATGGGGGGTTACCCCCCTTTATGATTGCTCTTCTAGATTTGACAATTCCATATGTTCTAAAAGGTTGTGGGACAGTCTAGGTTGTTGCTTCTCACAGAAGTGGTGTCTACAGTCTTTATGTTATTTCTTGCTGCTTTTACTATTTGAGATAATGTTCATGAGTGGGATCTGAGGCCCCTTCTAGCCATTCCTACTTGTGGCCTAGGCATTGGCTTGTTTTTTTGTTTTTTGTTTTTTTCCTCCCTCCTCCCCTATTCTTTGTGTTGCTGAAGTTTGAGCAGGGTTAGGTTATATGTAGAGCAAGGTGTCTTGTCTGTAGCTGGGTGGGGGCTTAGCCACAGAGTATCTACCCTATGAACTTGTAGTTTAACACTAGATTACCAGTACCTCACTGGGCCTCAGGAAATTTGCCACTAATAGGAAAGTATATAACTCTGGAGCGTGTTGCACAGAAGCCCTGGTGGCTGCTAGGTTCTTCAGTGGTTGGCCTCTTTCTTACCCTTAAAATACCCTATTAGTTAAGAAAATACTCAAACAACTGACTTTTATGTTTGTTAGACTTTTAAAAAATTGAGTAATTAATGCCTTAGGCTCCTAATTGGATTTTTTGGTGTTATAGCTGCCCTTCTATTTCAAATGATTATATTGACAAAAAGATACTAAAGTACAAAAAATTATCAAAAAAAGATTCCAAGAATTTCTAGAGATACCAAGATGAACTATTAAATAATGCCTTTATGCAGATAATATGGGTCTTGTTGTCTACAGTTTGCTTGTCTACCCCCTCCCCACAAAGAGAAACAAATTTTTAAATCAATAGGCCACATTTTCACACCCTACTTAAAAATACTTAATTTTACATTGAATCTGGATGAATAGGGAAATCAGATAGGTGCCTGGAGTGTGTGGCTATTGCGGGGACTAGTAGGAAACAACATTGCTCTAGTGGGCCATGAAGGCCCTTCTGTAAGCTTTACTCTTCCATTTCATGCAGATCTTTTCCCACACATATACCAAATGACTTGTAGATGAGGAGAAGCCATTGAAGGAAATTAAGCAGGATGACATGTGATTTGTATAGTAAAGAGATCACTCTGGCAGTTCTGGGGTAGATGAAATGTAAAATGAAATAAAAGATGGTGAGACCAATTAAGAAGCCATTTCTTTGCTTCATAGGCCATCATAGGTAGAGGCAATGGCTGTTGCTCTGGATGGACAGGGAGCGATCAGAGTAAGACTAAGGAACAGAATCTATGAGCCTGAGTTGCTAATCAGGTGTGAGGGCAAAGAAGAGTTAAGTGCACGTTGATTCTTGCAGGTCTGTGATAAAATATTGCCGTCCCCAAAAGATATTGACTTTAAGTACCTTTTTTGGCTTGGGAAAGAAAATGTAGCTATGAATGAAGAGCAGTTGCACCAACATTTGAACAGATTGTAGACCTTTTTTATCTGAAGGAATGGAAGGTTGATCTTTTTGATCATTCTGCTTCCTCTGCTTTCTAAACCTGAGCCTGTGCTGTTCTATAACCAGTTTTTCTTCCTCCTCAAATATTAGTGCACAGATCTTACATTAAGTGAAGCTATGTGATCTTCCCTATCTCTTGCAGCAAATGTACTGGTAATGTCTTGGGCTAATTGTATGCAATTTAATTTTCAGATTGTGGTAATCATTATTGCTGTTTTTATTTTCATTTTCTCTTCCCCAGGCATTGTCAGCTATAAATGTTCAATAGAATTATGCCCTTTGGGGTGATTTTCAATTTTCTCACTTTGGGAGGCGTATTCTTGTGTCAGTCATGAAAGGTTCAGATTTGGATTATTAAACACTTGAGCCCCTAGTTTTCACATTGGACCATTTAACACTTTCCATTTCCTTGTAAATGGAAAACTTAGCCTATCTGTATGCTGTTTGTGTGTTTTTGAAGACCTCATTTGATTTAGAAGTGTCTGTGCCTGTCCTAAAAACCTGTAGTCTTTGTCTTTTGCTGTATGGAAAGTCCTGCCACGAGGAGGTAAAGCATCCGTGGGTGATTTACAGGAGCACCCTTGGGCCTTTTCCTGAGCTTTGAGCCAAGAGGAGCATGTGCTAAATAATTTGACTTTCCTAACCACAAGAAGCATTTAAGCATATGTCTGGTGGCGTGTGACTGTGGAAGTGTGTTTCCTTTAAAGTGAGCAGACTATATTGCCACAGATGCTTTCACCACTGGGGCCCCTGGAGGGTCAGGACTTGTTGATGTAATCAGTTTTTTCCTCCTCTAATAGCTATTATTCTCTGAAGTGTGGAAATTGGCTGAGTTACAGAGTGTGAAGTGATGTTCTTCTCTGTTTTAACCCTCCAGAAATGCATCTTCTGCAGACACCGTGTTAAGAAGGTCTCTGGAGCTTGCATCCAGTGTTCTTACGGCCGCTGCCCAGCTTCCTTCCATGTCACTTGTGCCCATGCTGCTGGGGTACTGATGGAGCCTGACGATTGGCCTTATGTGGTGAACATCACGTGCTTCCGACACAAGGTCAATCCAAATGTGGTAAGGTCACTGTCCCTTCTCAATGCTGAGACAACATCTGAATTCCCTCCTGTACCCAGACCTAGGTAGCATATTTTATTCTGCTGTGTTGCTCATTGTTGACATGTCCAGACTTTGTTTATTGGGGGCTGAAATTACACACAATTATTTGCAGATATTTGTACAAGATTCACCAGGGTCTAGTGTGCAGTAGACACAATAATATTTACTGAGTTGAATGAGTGAATAAGTAGATGAATAAGTAAAACTCTTTATGTCCATTCTTTATGTCCAATCTATTTACAGGATTGCTGAGCATTGTATTACAGGTTATACGCTACACATATCCAGGGTGTGAGGGAGATCATTTCCTGGAGGACAGTGATGTGAAAAGCATCACCTGAGATTATGCAGCAAATAATCTGTGCAATTTATGCTGTGGACCTGATATTTTATTTCATTTCTCATAAAAGAAACAAAAAGCAGTAACATTTTAAAGGGAAAAAGAGGATAGCCAGGAACTCTGTGGAGCCTTGCTGCCTGAAATGGTGAAGTTAGAGAAAGAATAAAGTCCCTGGAAGGAGTGAGGACATTCTCATAAAGGAGTAGAAGAGAATAAAGTACTCCTTTGTTTTGGTTTGGTTTTTGCCTTTTCCCTTTAACTCAGGACTGAATTTAATTGTGGAAAATAGTGTTTGCAACCAAGTAACATGTAAATTTAAATTTTATTCAGTTTACCTGTCCTTGGTGGATGAAACCCTTCCTCTTTTTCAAAAGCTAGAAAAATTATGACAGTACAGAAATGGCTGATATCCCTTTTTTGGCTTTCCAATTCACTGTAATGGTTTTTGGCTACCAAAGATGAGGCAAAACATTGTATATAGATGCTAAGCTTTGCTAACTTGCCTCTTTCTGTTATCCCTGGGAGACTTGGCCATAGGCTATTTGCAGACTAATATGCTTGTCTTGTTTCAGCCTCTTGTGTACAGGCTGCCAAGTTGTCAGTATTGGCTTGTGGAGCCAGGACCCATCCACAACAAATCTCCCAGTTCTTTGTAATGATTCCAGCAATTTCCTTTGGCATCTTGAGAAATATTTGACATTTGTGGGTTGGGACTATGTGCAGATGTGTTCCGAGTGCCCAAGAGTACAAAATGATGCCACCAACTGTCATATATATTTTAAAGTTATTTCCCATTGTTTCAGGTCACAAGTTACATGTACATTCATGCCTATTCCTTAGTATCTTGAGTTGATGTACTCTTGCAAAGAGTAGTATTGTGTTTGTCAGAAAATACATTTTAACATCTTTTAAAAATTACGATAGCAGCACAATATATTAGTATGGCACTTTGCCATTTACAGAGTGTAGTCAATAGTATTACCTCATTAGCTGATCCATGTGAGTGTGTTTTGTTATGTGAATAAGGTCTAGAGGCAGAGTGTTTGCTAGTCACACTTAGATCCTGCCAGTAAAAGCTGTACAACCTTGTCCAAATTTTTGTTTCTGAGCGTCAGCTCCCTCATTTATTAAAAAAAAAAAAAAAAATGGGATTCTGACTGTATTATTTTCAGTTCACAATACTCAAAAAATGAAAATTACATTATTGTGTTTTAATTTCTCCTTTTGTTGGTGCTGCAATCCTATACAAACTGCATTATTTTTTAAAAATTTTTCCTTTTGTTCGTGCTGCAGTCTTATACAAATCCTATGTGAATAGTACTTTCCTGTTTCAAGGATAAGAAGCCCAAGTTCAGGGAGGTTCAGTTCCATGCCCAAATAGATGGAGTTCATGATCAGTGAGTGCTGGAATGGAAATGTCTCTTCAGCCCATACTCTAAGATTAGTTCAATTCCTAACTCTCAACTTGAACAGTGGTGGGGGAATCCATCCAAAGCCTTATTTGGGATCATACACTCCCATTTTAATATTCCAAAGCTCTGTGGTTACTGATGATTATATTGAAGTTGCTATTAAAGAGATCCAGCTGTTTAATCATGACCTCATTCCTGTTAACTCTGATGTGTGGTTCAGTCAGGTTTATGTTACTAATGAGTTTTATAAAGATGATGAAAAAGAAAATATTTGACTTATAGATGATTTTAAAACTACTGTATGCTACGTATCTAGTTTAAGCTTGGTATATTTTGTAAAGTGTGGTCAGAACATTATTTAATTTACAGCATTGCATGTAGTTCGTTCCTTCCTTCCTTCCTTCCTTCCTTCCTTCCTTCCTTCCAGTTCTCTAGGGGGAAATATTATGAATACTGGGTTTCTGAAAATACTTATCCATTCTTCTTTGGTTAGCATTCAAGTATGGATTCCTTCCCCCAAATTTCTGGGAACTAACAGGAAGGATTTATAGAATCTGGCAACTTTGGTTAAAAGCATTGTGTTTTCCCCTGTTGCATTAAATGTTCTTTATTTATAACATAAAAAAGTTTGAATTCACCAAAATATATTCCCTTTTGTGAATGATGAATGCCAGGGGAGATATGTTCCTTAGAATACAAATCACTTTGTCTATGTTGTGAACTATTCCTTGATTATTTGAGAGTAATAGATAATTGCTGAAGCATAGCAGTAAAAACTATAAAGTTTAGGCTTACTTGCTAGTCTGGCCCTGTTGATCTACAGAATGAAGGATGCCTGCACAGTTTAGGGGAAATGAAGTATTTTCATTTTTACCCATGTAAGTGTCATCATTCTTTTATTTTTCTGTTTCTGCCTATATTTGCTTTATCCATCTAAAAAGGACAACTTCATCGCTAATTCTACTATTCCTTTAGTATCATAAATTATTTTGAATGTGACAACTTACTCAGTGTTACTGCGTTTTCATTATAAAATCTTGCAGATGATGTTAATAAAAATTTTCTGATTTATTACAATGTACTGTTTCATCAGATAGTAAACATATTTTATAGAGAGGTTAGTATTTGTAAAAATAGGTGGCTTTAAAATTCTTAAGATGGAAAGGAGTATATAACAGAAAGTGCACAACTAATCCTTGTTATTATAACCTAACTTTTAGTATATATTTCTTGATGTTTTTATCAAACACATTTTTTTTGAATGGCACCTGCTGTTTTTCAAATGCAGGGTCTCATTTGGGACCTAGTAGTTGCAAGAAGCACCGTTACACATTTGAAGAGATGGGGACTGGACTTCCACAGTGACCATGCCCTGGGAATGAAGAGAAGCATCTTGATTTTGGAGACAGTTTAGAGATAGACTCAGTTAATTGAGAATTAATTACAAGTGAGAGTTTACCTACTTTTAGTTAAACCTAATGCCAGTGAGTGTGGCTTCAACAGCATTGACACATCAAACACTATAGGTTGAATCTATCCTGTTTTATTTTTCTTCACTTAAGTATAGAACTCAACTGCATAGGTCAATTCTGCTTCCTTTAGTTTTTCTTATATCCTTTTTATAAAGGGAACCAAAATTCAGCTAATACTCATCTAAAGTAACCTGATTGGTATCATTTCCATAAACGCTCATCTCTCTGTCTTAAATCTAGATGTCTGTGTTTCACTGATGAAAGAATTTTTATTGTTATTTTTTCTTTAATAATTTTGATATTCTCACTAATAATCTGTTCAGTAACATTTGTTATGACCAACGGCATTCTTCTCAGACTTGTGCATATAGTTATCTGGTATTTGAATATGGCTTGTGTTTTCTACATGTGTTTGTTTTCAAATGGCCTCCCGAGTATGCACTGATATTATTCAAAGATAAGCAGAGAATTCTGACCAAAGCAAAGGCATGAAGTATAGAATTCATAAAGGATTTTTAAAAAAGTTACAGCTACGGTGATTTAAACTTGAGTCTGATCAATATTTCTAAACCTAGCAAACATTTTAAAAAAAGAAGCCTCTCATCTTTCTATCAATAGAAGTGTTTTGTTGAGATCTCAGTTTATTTATCCCGGATTATAGAAAGTTAAGGTCAGCTTTTCCTGGGAGGAGAAATATTTAGCATAGACCTTTTGGTATATTTACATTTGAAACCAAACTGTTCCTTGTTCACCTTATCAGGTAAAGCCAATGAAAATAGAGATTTTTTTTCTTTTTCTTTTTTTTTATTGGTTGTTCAAAACATTACAAAGCTCATGACATATCATCTTTCATACATTTGATTCAAGTGAGTTATGAACTCCCATTTTTACCCCAAATACAAATTGCAGAATCACATCAGTTACACATTCACAATTTTTACATAATGCCATATTAGTGACTGTTGTATTCTGCTGCCTTTCCTATCCCCTACTATCCCCCCTCCCCTCCCCTCTCATCTTCCCTCTCTACCTCATCTGCTGTTGTTTAATTCTCTCCCTTGTTTCCCCCCCCCCTTTCCCCTCACAACCTCTTATATGTAATTTTGTGTAACATTGAGGGTCTCCCACCATTTCCATATGCCTTCCCTTCTCTCTCCCTTTCTCTCCCCCCACTCGTCTCTGTTTAATGTTAATCTTTTCCTCATGCTCTTCCTCCCTGTTCTGTTCTTAGTTGCTCTCTTTATATCAAAGAACACATTTGGCATTTGTTTTTTAAGTATTGGCTAGCTTCGCTTAGCATAATCTGTTCTAATGCCATCCATTTCCCTGCAAATTCTACGATTTTGTCATTTTTTAGTGCTGCGTAATACTCCATTGTGTATAGATGCCACATTTTTTTTATCCATTCATCTATTGAAGGGCATCTAGGTTGGTTCCACAGTCTAGCTATTGTTGTGAATTGTGCCGCTATGATCATTGATGTGGCAGTATCCCTATAGTACGCTCTTTTAAGATCCTCAGGGAATAGTCCGAGAAGGGCGATAGCTGGGTCAAATGGTGGATCCATTCCCAGCTTTCCCAGGAATCTCCATACTGCTTTCCAAATTGGCCACACCAATTTGCAGTCCCACCAGCAGTGTACAAGTGTACCCTTTTCCCCACATCCTCGCCAACACTTATTGTTGTTTGACTTCATAATGGCTGCCAATCTTACTGGAGTGAGATGGTATCTTA